GGGCTTGGTTGAAATCGTCTACCTTCTGCTGCGTTCTTGCTGCTGCTGCTGCTGCTGCTGTTGCTGCTGCAAAGCAGCTGCAGCAGTCCTCAAATCCACATGGCACTTCACGTGAGGAGTCCTTGGCCTCTGCAGCAGGTTGTGCTGCGGCGTTTGCTCCTGCTGCCGCTGCTGCTGCCTTTGCTGCTGCTGCTCTGGCCTGCTGCATCTCAGCAGCAGCAGCAGCAGCAGCAACGGGAAAGCCAAAATGCATCTCCAGCAGCAGCGGCAGGAAAGGGCCCCCAGCAGCAGGATCAAAGAAAGCTTTTGCCCAGCTCAGCGAGCGCCTGCAAGCCGCGAGTAGCCTGCAGCAGCAGCAGCAGCAGCAGCAGCAGCAACAGCAGCAGCAGCAGGTGTTCCGCTCATGAGGCCTTATTTCGAGGAGCCGCTGTGGCTGCTGCGGCTGCTGCTGCTGCTGCTGCGCCGCTGGCGGCGCTGCAGTAGCCTCGGCCAGAGCGCCGCGCTGCCGAGCACCGCAGCGGCAGCAGCAACTGCAGCAGCAAATGCCCTGAAGCAGCAGCAGCAGCAGCAGCAGCAGCAGCAGCAGCAAACGCAACGAAAGGAAAACTTACTGTCTACCGTATGCTGCTCTCCTCCAAAAAGGAGGAGCCTTGCCGTGCTGCCATCGGCGCCACGGCCTTATGCTGCTGCTGCTGCTGCTGCTGCTGTCGCAGCCGCTGCTGCTGCTGCTGCAGATCGAAGTGCTGCGAATTCTGCTGCTGCTGCTGCTGCTGAATGCTGCGCTGCGGCGCTCCTCCAGAAACGGCTGCGCACTTCGCAGCAGCGCAGATATCAGCAGCACCCAGCTGTGCCTCAGAGAAGCCACATAATCTGCTGCTGCTGCTGCTGCTGCTGCTGCTGCTGCTGCTGCTGCTGGCGTGGCGCAGCTGCTGCTGCGGCGCCACTGGCAGCTAGCAGCAGCAAACGCAGCAGCAGCAGCCACGACTGCTGCCTCCAACTTTAAATCCCTTAAAAGAAAATGACCTGAGTAAAACAGGCGGCAGCTGAAGCAGCCATTGTCCGCAGCAGCAGCAGCAGACGCGGCTGCTGCTGCTGCTGCTGCTGCTTCAGGCGCTGCTGCTGCTGCTGCTGAGTCACTGCTGCCTCGCAAGCCAGCATGTGAAGTTTCAGAGCAGCGTCTGCCGCTGCTTGTCGGCAGGCAAAGCTGCTGCTGCTGTTGCTGCTGCTGTTGCTGCTGCCGTCGTTGTTGCTGCTGCTGCTGCTGCAGTTGCTGCGGCGCGTGCAGCTGGTGAAGCTGCTGCAGCCCCAAAGAGCGCAGCAGCTGCAGCACCGCAAACGAATCTGCGGCAGTCCCTTGCAGCAGCGCAGCAGCAAACTCTGCTGCTGCTGCCACCAGAGAAGCTGCTGCATGTGCTGCAGCAGCAGCAGCAGCAGAGCAGCAGGTTGCTGCGGGGCAGCTGAGAGACCACCAGCACTGCAGCACAACAGGCTTCAGGTGCTGCTGCAGCAGCGCCGCTGCAGGATGTGCTGCTGCTGCTGCTGCTGCTGCTGCTGCTGCTGGGCGCCGTGCCAGCAAATGGAGAGTGGCTGTTGCTGCACTGAGACCAGCACAGATGCGGTAGCGGCAAGCAGCAACACGCAGCAGCTGTAGCCGTCTGCTGCTGCTGCTGCTGCTGTTGCTGCTGCTGTTGCTGCTGCTGCTTGCTGCTGCAGCGGACTGCTGCTGCAGCTGCTCCACAGCAGCTACGATGTTATCAAGAGCCAAATCGACCGCTGTAGACGAAGGCTTCTCAATTCCGCTGAAGCTGCTGCTGCTGCTGCTGCTGCTGCTGCTGTTGCTGTCGCTGTTCCTGCTGCTGTCGCCACTGCTGCTGCTCTGCTGGGACCTAAGCAGCAGCAGCAGCTGCTGCTGCACCTGTCTCTGCTGCAGACGCCGCTGCTGCTGCTGCAGCCCCAAATCATTCCAAAGTTTCAAAAGGCCCCATATGTGCTGCAGCAGCGGCTGGCAGCAGAAGCAGAGACGTCCCCGTCCCCCCTGGCAGGCTGCTGCCGCTGCTGCTGCCGCTGCTGCTGCTGCTGCTGCTGCTGCTGGCACTGTTGTTGCTGCTGCTGCTGTTGCTGCTGCATGAACGTCTTGTTCGGCATGCAAACAGCTGCCTAGGCCTCCAGTAGGAAGCATATTCTGCAGCTGCAGCTGCAGCAGGGAAGCAGCTGCTGCTGCAGCAGCTGCTGCGTTTGCTGCTGCCGTTGCTGTTGCTGCGGCCATTGGCTTATTTGCTGAGGGCACCTGCAGCAGCAGCTGCTGCTGCGGAGCAGCGGCAGCAGCAGCAACTGACTCAACAGCTTCGCGAAGATAATGCCATTCAACGAATTCAGAACCTGGTTGGTGCTGCTGCTGCTGCTGCTGCAGCTGCTGCTGCTGCTGCTGCTGGCTGTGCCGCTGCTGCCCCTGGTCTTGGAGTCCCGCTGATGGCAGCAATTCAGCAGCAGATGAAAAGGGCGAGCAGCAAATGCTCTTGCTGCTGCTGCTGCTGCATGCGAGTGCAAGAATCTGCTGCTGCAGTTCTGCTGCTGGGATAGACGAGTGCAGAAGGCTCTGCTGCTGCTGTTGCTGCTGCAGTTGTCGCTGCAGCTGCTGCAGCTGCTGCCGCAGCTGCTGCAAGCTCCCAGTACTGCTCGTGTAGCCATATGCTACTGCATGCTGTTGCTGCCGCAGCAGCAGCAACTGCTGCTGCTGCTGCTGCTGCTGCTGCTCCAAGCTGCTGCAGGAAAGCAGCAGGCAGGCATGCAGCAGGCGCAGCAAACAGTTGCGTACGTACACCAGAGGCGTCCGTGTCTTCCCTGCTAATACGACCCCTGCGGTGTTGCTGCTGCTGCTGCTGCTGCTGCTGCTGCTGTTGCTGCTGCTGTTGCTGCTGCTGCTTCTGTCGAAAGCAGCAGTCTCACAGAAAAGAAAGACCGCGGTGGATACCGCGCAGCTCTGCTGCTGCTGCTGCTGCTTTTGTTGCTGCAGGCAGCAGGTGCAGGCGCTATCTGCTGCCGCTGCTGCTGCTGCTGCTGCCGCTGCTGCTTGTTGCTGCTGCTGGAGTCGTAGCTGCTGCAGCAAGCCGCGCAGCAGCTGCAGCAATCTTACAAGTGCTGCTGCATCTCGGCTAAGCAGCAGCAGCCACGTTTTGCTTGCTGCACTGAGAAGCAGCAGCAGGCTCGCAGCAGCAGCTGCTGCTTCTGCTAGGTCTCCTGCTGCTGCTGCAGTAGCAGCAGCAGCAGTTGCTGCTGTTGAGGGCTGCAGCAAACGCTCGAGCGGAGGAAGCAGCAGCTGCAGCAGCGGCTGCAGCAAATCCTCTCCACAGAGGCAAAGAAGTTCCCTCAGAACGAGGCCACACAGCAGCAGCAGGCCGCCAACTGTGCTGCTGCTGCTGCCGATGCTGCTGCTGCTGCTGCTGCTGCTGCTGCTGCTGCTGCTGCTGCTGGGCGTATGCGCTAGCGGAGCCGCCGGCTGCGTAGGGCTGGACACAAAGTAAGGGCCAGCAGCTTCTGCTGATGCTTCTGAAGAGTCTGCTGCTGCTGCTGCTGCTGCTGCCGCTGCTGCTGCTGGCGTTGTTGTTGTTGTTGCTGCTGCTGCTGCTAAGTGTGAGCGTTGCTGCTGCCGGCATAAGCACTCGACACACGCCCTCCATGCTGCTGCAGCAAGCTGGGAGGCCGCGTGCAGCAGAGTCGCATTGTGCTGCTGCTGCTGCTGCTGCTGCTGCTGCTGCTTCTCCTGCAGCCGCTGCAGCGCAACAGCAGCAGCAGCAAGGGCGCCGCAGACGTCTGCTGCTTCGCGAGCGTTACGGAGGGCAGCAGCAGCATCAGTCAAAACGCAGCAGCAGCTGTCGGCCCGCTGCTGCTGTTGCTGCTGCCGCAGCTCAGGTGTCGGCTGCTGCTGCTGTTGCTGCTGCTGCTGCTGCTGCTGCGGTGGCGACGTCATTTCAATTGCTGCTTCCTGGCAGCTGCAGCACTCCCATGTCACTGGCGGAACTCGGCATCGGCTGCCGGTGTTGCTGCTGCTGCTGCGCCACTGCTGCTGCTGCTGCTGCTGCTGAGCTGCAGCAGGCCCCCCCAGTGGTCAGGCGCGATCTGGGGTGTACAGACAGCTGCGCCGGCTGCTGCAGCAGCAAAGAAACAAAAGAAATGAGACAAACTAGTCCATTAAAGGAGTGATGTGCTGCCTCTCGATGCTGCTGCTGCTGCTGCTGCCGCCGCAGCTGCTGCTGTTGTCGCCGGTGCTGCTGCAGCTGCTGCTGCTGATGCTCAGCCAAGGACTCCCTGCAGCAGCAGATGATCTTCATATTCAAATAAATTCAATTCAAAGAGAAGACACTCGCCACGCTGCAGGAGCAGCAGCAGCAGCAACAGCTGTTGCTGCAGCAGCAAATGAGTCTCGTGGGGCCCCCAGAGGCCCCAGGACCGTGAAGCAGCAGCAGCTGCTGCTGCTGCTAGCAGCAGCAGCAGCAAGAGCACAACAGCGTAGCCACTTACTTGCTGCCAGCAGCTGACACCCTCAAGCTGCAGCTTCTTAAAGAGCAGCAGCAGCAACAGCTTGTGCGCAGCAGCAGCAGCAGCAGCAGAGCACCAGCTGCTGCTGCTGCTGCTGAGGCACCGCTGGAGTCTAACTTATGGCTGCTCGCAGCTTGCTGCAGCAGCAGTTGCAGCAAATGAAGAGTGCAAAACCACCCTTGCTGCTGCTGTGCTGCAGCAGAGCACAGCAGCAGCCGACAGAGTGCTGCAGCAGCAGCTAGCAGCAGCTACTACGCAGCAGCAGCAGCCACTACGCAGCAGCAGCGGCTAGCAGAGCTAGTGAGCAGCAGGGTCAGAAGCCAGCATGCAGCAGCAGCAGCAGCTAGTAAGCAGCAGCAGCTAGTAAGCAGCAGCAGCTAGTAAGCAGCAGCAGCTAGTAAGCAGCAGCAGCAGAGCGCATGCAGCAGCACTTCGCGTGAAGCAGCAGCAGCAAGAGCTCCTCA